TTGAAGTCATCCTAACAGCTGTGAATGGCATCTCATGTGTCCCATACCTGTTAAGGAAGAAGGTCACCCATTTGCCTTGTCCCTACTGAGTCAAAAGCATCACTAAAATATCCTGTAAGATCATTCATTAACTGCTTTTCTAGATAATATTTGTTAGCCATACACTTAAAATGCTGTTCATTGCTAATCACCAGTGGAAGGCAACCCTTTAATACAGTCTTTAAAAAAAATCTATGGAGATGAGAATGGAAGAACCCTCCATAGGTACTGTTTGCCTGTGTGTGCCTGAAATGCTTTATTTTGGGTGTTAATAACATAGAAGAGAATGATGAGATTCTCAGAGGCAAAACTTTTCATAAAAATGGACATTGCCAAGGTAGAATCTGTTTTGTACCATGTTAGAACACATACCTTCTTCCTAATTATGTTTCAGCTGATTGAAGAACAATTTAAAAATCAAACATGTTTAAGGGAATCAGGTCATGTTCTCACAATGGACGTCTGTTTCTTGTACTTTGCTGCAAATCTTGTGATATTTGAAGGTTTGTAATTGTTTTTAAAACACAGCTGCTTTCACTGGAATTTTAAAAACGGAGAGTTGTGTTACTCTGACACATCAATGCTGCGTTATCTGTCTGCGTGCTTGGTTCTCAGTTGCCTCAGGTAGTTCCTGAGCTGGGAAAAAGTATGTAAAAAAACTTGGGAATGGACTGCAGCCTCTCTTGGCATACCCAGGACTCATAGGTGAAAGCTGCAGCATATGGAAGTTACAGACTCGATTGTCTGCAGCTTCTCTTCTGAAGACACTGCAACTCCTCCAAAGCACATCGGGGCCCCTGTGTCCAAGGGGAATTCCAGTGCTGTTGGCTGTTCAGCTGAAGATTTTTTAGTTGGTTTGCTATGATCAAATCACTTGAGGACATTTGGTCTCAGGAGGTGGAGATTTCTACATGGGACACTGAACTGAGCTGCTGGAATGTATTGCACATTATCCACCAGATGGTTTTCAGCCACTTTGATTTGATCTGGGTTTGATAGTGATGAAGATATGAAAGTCACATATTCCTCCAGCATTGCTTACATGAGCTGGCATGTCCTGGGTAGCTGTGCTTCTGGCAGCAATGACCCCTGCAGAATGCAACCGAGCGCCTAGTTCCCTCTGCGCTCCTCTCCTTGGGCACCGTCTGTGCAGCACCAACATCTTCTATATTTTATACTCACAGGTACATTGTGACCGTCTAGCTGGTCGGCAAGTTGCTCTGAATTTCTTGTAGGAGTTGGCGTGGTCTTAGGAGACAGGGAGCTGGCAGGAGCAGCAGCCAGTGGGTCTCTCCATTTGTTTGGTTTTTTTTTTGTTCTTGTTTTGCTGCTTTAAAATCTGAAGATGGGTTTCAGTTAGGCAGCTGCTCTCAGTCACAGTGTTGTGCAAAGTAATTGACTTTCCATTGACTTTGGAATTTGGAATAGTGTCTAAATATTGTTGTCAGCTTCATGCTGATTCCTCTCCACTGAGGCTAAAGTCGTTTCACTTACGACCTCAAGCTGGACTTGTGCTTTACTCCCATGGGAACTAAAAATAATAATTATTTTAAGAATAGGTTCTTAATCACTTCCTTCTTTTGATGCACTACTTTTGTTTAGCATTTTGTAAGAATGTAATAGAAAAATGTTTTAAACTATTTGTGTTTTAATTCCAGCTTTAATTGGCTCTTTGAAGATGCAAGGAGTGTACAAGAATTAATTACAGTTCCTTTCAGTTTTTTGTAGAAAAGCATTTGTTGTTGTTATTCTGAGTGAAGATTATTAGAGTTTTGTTGCTTTGGCAAACTGTCCAGTCACACAGAGCTATGAAGAGATGAACATTAAGTTGACAGATTTCTTAGTCAAAGGCATGTGGGCATTTTGTCAGTGTTGGTAATGCATCAGCATGTTAACCTCCTGTCTCCAAACTGTTAATGTACATATGAGAAACAGAAGAAGATGTGCTTTAATCTGGGTTTAGAAGGAATGATAAGATACGCAATGATTTTGTGGCAGAGCTGGCTGTGCAGTGAACACTGTGAAGGTGATGAGATAGTTTACAGAGATGGGGAAAATATTAAACAGATGGAGAGCCACAGTCTGCCCTGACCCACAGCAACTGGATAACAGTGAGATAAAATACTTAATTTGGAGATCTTGCCATAAACTGAAAGAGTCTTGAACCTCAGAAGTGGGGTTTTGGGAGAGGTATTTCAAAGAGTGGCATATGACTGTTCGGGGGGGAAATCTCTCCAGAAGGGCTTTTCTAGACCTCAGTGAGCATACAAAGTGTGGTTGTACTGGGTGTCTTAGAGCCCAGCTACAGAGAATAACACAAGTACATTAATAATTGTTTTTCATATTCCTTGCTAATGTTTACATGGTTTACTATTACTTCCAGTCAGTGAAGTTGCTTGTTCCAGCAAATCTACTTGCCTTAGAGGGAGCCAATGTTCTATTTTGTGTACAAAATTTTGTTTGTACTTTATTTCTTCTCAAGCACCAGAGTCCCAAAGGCTGCAGCAGAGCCTTACAGCATAGCCTAGAGGGCTCAGCATACAGCATAGACCCTGAAGGGGCAGCTGGGCATGGACCATGGTGAACACAGGACTTGCAAGCTTGTCGCTTACCTACTCTCTTGCTGCTGTGAATTGTCCTTTTAGTGCAGTTCATACCTGGTCTCTACACCCGCTTCCCTGTGCGTACAAAAGCATAACAGTTTATTTTTAAAGAGGATGGGGAGAAAAACAAAAAAATCTTTTTACTGTTGGGCAACAGCTCACCTGATGGTGATTTAACCTATTGCTACAACTGGCATTATACGCAGTAGTAAAATTGAAAGAGCAGAGCTGGCTTTTCTTTACCTGTCACTTGGCTGAGGTCTGGCATTTGCTCATCTGTTACTGTCGTGGTTGTGGGAATACCTGAATGGTAACAGCAGTTGTGGTACTAGCAAGGGAGAAAAGAAATGATGAGCCAAATACTTGAAGAAAGTGGTAGTTTAATATCCTACTGTTGACAGCTCTGGCATTCTGGCTTCTTTTGTGTAGGCTGTGAGGTCTTTTTACTTGTTTATAGTATTACAAGTTTTATTACAAGTTTTCTTTAAAAAGAGCTGCTATCAGGATGTTTCCCAGACCAAGTAGGAAACTGGGAATCAGCAGTTCTCCAGCTTCAGGCCTGCCTCTGCATGGCCTTGGGCAAGCTGAGGGAAGTGCCTGGTACTTCTGTAGGGTGTACTTCCTATTCTCACAGTGATTTTAGAGCTTAAGTGTAAAACAGGGACTTTAAATGAAGAATAATTCAGCTCTTTGCATTCATTTGTACTGAATGTGTGATAGCAAATATACAGTGCCCTAGCACAGGCCCGTTCTAGTACGTCTCTCTAGTGCCACTGCAATTCATGGTAGAAGTCACTCCCGATTGACCAGGTGCTCAGTGATCTTTTCTGAGAGGGCAAAGTGTTTGGAGGTGGCGTTGCTCCTGTCATTCATTTGTGTACTCTTCACTACAGAAGACCTTAACCTCTTGACCTGATGCTCGTAATAGTTCAAGATGAACCTGTTGCCTTTGCATGTGTTGTCATATTGATTGCAGTTTGTATTGCTGGTCCGCTTCCATTGCAGCAAGGATGTACAAACAGCATAAGGAGACATAAACTAGGACGGTGTATGGCTAAAACCACAAAAAATGAGAGGGAGAACCTGGGATAGGCACAATACCTATACTTTAATCTGTGGTTGAAATTTACATTATGAATATTTGCTACGTCCTCTGCTCTGTCAGTAGTATGGATTAATGATTCATAAAGGTGTGTTTTAAGGGCTGGGTAGTTGTGTTTATACAGTGCTTATTGGAGTCCCTGTTGCTTCTTCCTTTTTCCTTCCGTCTCCCATCTCCTAAGATTGTTCATACATACGCCATTTCTCTTTCCAGCCTTCCCTTTCCTTGGAGAAAAGTTACTATTTCTAGCCTGTTGGTGATCCTTTGTGCCCAGCTGTGTTTACCAGCACTGTAGAATCAGTGGGTGGTGGTTTTTCTTGGGTCAGAACTGGCATTTCATTCTTCCTTTCCAGTTTTACCAGCCTGGAAAATTGAATGGAACTGTAGAAATGAACTTGTGTTGACTTCATCCAGCTCCTCGGTAAAATCCATGCCAAAACTATATGTGGCCAAATGTGCAAAAACCTCTAGGCCAGGTTTTGGGCTTAATTTTGAGCAATCTTCTCAGTTGATGGAAGCTCTTAGGCTAGCATTTGAGAAGGTGGGATACTGGCAAGGAGAAAAGTGTGGGTGAAATGAGTTTCAGTCCTGCTGAAGATACTTGTGAGACCAATTGTGACAGTTGTTAGCAGGCAGATGAGAACATGAAGGAGTCTTGAAAACTGAACTTGTCTCTGAGACCTAGATCAGTAAGCCACGGATAGCGTATGGCAAAAGTTGTCACTGGCCAAGTGTGGCTTGTTGTACTTTTTTCTGTTGGCAGTTTTAGGGGGATGCTTTGTCTTGAAAGGAATGGGAAGAGAAAAACTGAAAGCAGAATTGTGATAAGTGACATATTGTTTGTTCACCAAACTTGATGAGACAATTGCCTTTTGTGGTATAAGCTAAAGAAACTGGCTATGAGAATTTGGACTTTGCCTAAGGTAATAAAATATGACAACTTAGAATATTTGTAAAGGAATTTACAAAATTTAGAGAAATGGGGGAATGAAAGGGTTAAATCCCTGACAATTCCTGACTAAAACCTTGCTGTGATTTTTCTTAGCTTCACTTGCATAGTTTTAGTAAAGACATGTAAATTCTTGCCTGACAAGAATTTACAGGCCTTGAGCTAGCCCATTAGGCCTCCTGTGTAAATCACTGATAAGAGGAACTCAGGACGACTGTGTTAAGATAAGTGCTAAATACTAGTTAGACTGGCCCCCTTGTAACATTCCAGAGTCAAAAGGACTGAAAAGCTAATTCAATGACCATATATGGACAAAGGAAGCCCAGAGTTCAACCAGAGGACAGAGTGAGGAAGACTACCGACGACCACCGGAGGGTGAAAAGACCCTAACCCTAATTTTACTGCGCATGCTTGGATTATGTAAATGAATTCTGGGGACTCATCACCATAAGACTACCCTTTTCCAGGAGATTTGATGAATATGTATGATTTTTCTGTATATAACCTGATGTGCTTTGCCAACCCGTTGTAGCACTTGTGGCGGAGCGATCCCCAGTGCTGCCCAGCGCTGTTTTGCTTATTGCCATTGCTTGCTAATTAATAAATAATCAATTTATTAAACCAGGCTCTCCTCGATGTGTGGGAACTACACATAACAGAATGATTTGTTGTCTGTTTTGTTCCAGTGGAAAGCTGGTTTCACCAAAATGGAAAAATTTTAAAGGCTTGAAACTTCAGTGGAGAGATAAAATCCGTCTCAATAACGCCATCTGGAGGGCATGGTACATGCAGTGTAAGTGTCATGCTTGGTTGTGTCGCTTGCTTTAAAATATTTTCCCAGAGACATATATGTAAGAAGCAAGAGAATTGAAATTACTGTCTATTGAAAAGCTCAAAAATCTGCTGAGGGCCCAGATGTCTCAGAGGCTGTCATGGCAGTGCCTTTGGATTAGTGCTTTCTTAGAAATGTCCACACAGAGGCTGTACTGAGCAGTCCAAGCACAGCCTGAGATTTCCCCATTTACTGTTGGCTATCTGGAAAGAACCCTGGCTAGATTTTTTTTCACATCTTGCCATTGAAGTGACAGGGCTCTTTGCAGAGTCTGCATGTGCTGAGCACTCAGATTTTCATTCTTGTTTCAGACCTGGAGAAGCGCAAGAATCCAGTGTGCCATTTTGTGACTCCACTGGATGGCTCTGTTGATGTAGATGAACATCGTCGGCCAGAGGTATGTAAAACCTGAGGAACAGACTAATGAGCTCTAGAGTTCATAACAAGATTTTCTTGTTCGCTAGATATGAGAGCAGCATAGCAATTCTTTGCTCTGAAGTCTTTATTTAGAAGGAACCATTAATATAAAGCAGGTGTGCTGTTGAACCCATTTTTGTAAGTTTATCGTATTGAGATGATCAGGGTGCAACCAGAAGGACATTTATTATCTATGTAACTTATGTCTGTGTTCTAGTTTAGTGAAACGTAAGTCATAGAAGTGCAGTTTGAATAGTTAAGATTTTGACAGCCACTGCTCTCTTCTGGCTGGAGATTGCTGAAATCGGTGACAACTGTTTCCAGGATTGAATCTTAAGTGACCCTGTGAGAGTTTTCAGTATCTTTATTTAATTGATGAGGTGTGATTTCTAGTCAACAAGCAATTTCTTTTTCCCTGTCAAGGTAACTTCACGAAAAGAGTGTATATCAGTTTGCATACTTCATTTTTGTGCTCTTGTAAACATAAATGAAAACTAACATCTGCTTTCTGGCTCCTTGCAGAAAACCAGTGAGGCAGTATGTGGCGCTCTCTATACTGCATAACTCCAGAATAATTTATAACTGAGAGGAGTTCCAAATGAGAGTGTGGAACTGTCTCAGGTTTTTGAAAGAACAGTACTGATGTTTGTGTTGAAAGATGACCCTCGAACACAAGAAAGTTGTGTTAAGGCTCTCATTAGTCTGCTGTCCCCAGTTTATACTCTGCTATCTGTGATACATTAAAGACCCACATTGTTCTGATCCTTTTGTTGCTATTAGTATGTGGCCTGCAAGGTCACGCTTCTCCCTGAGCTGGACATCAGATTTCTATTGCTTTGTGTCATTCTTAACAGCTTTTGCGTATGTGTGTGCATGTTCATGTAACCTTGTGAAATTCTTTGCCTGTTTTCTGCAGGACAGGGTATTGTATGCTTTATACATTATATTTTAGTAAATTCATTTTAAAGGGGTTTTTCTTTTGCCATTTCTTAACTATTGGTTATGGTTGAGCTGATGTGGGAGATGCTGACAGTGCAGTCAGACATCATCTCTTGTTTGTTTATTGTGGGAAAGATGAAGTTAGTACTGTCAGATTTGCTCTGTGATAGCTGAACTCTGGGACAGTGTGGGCTGCTGATACATGAGCTCAAACAGAATTAGCGTGCTTTCTTTTGCATTTTTTCTGCCTGAATATTTGCTTGGAAATTTATTGAACATTCAGCCAATATGTGATTCCGTGTAATTCATGGTATGTGTTTGTGTTCTCAGGCCATTGCAACAGAAGGGAAATACTGGAAACGAAGAATTGAAATGGTCATCAGGGAATACCACAAATGGAGAACATACTTCAAGAAAAGGGTCTGTTGGCTTACACAGTGAAAGTAGCTTACTTGAACTTGATCAGTATGTTGTTGCTTTTTGACTTTCGATGTCACTCTTTTTGCTAGCATGCAAGAATACTTAAAACAGATGATAAGCTAGTACAGGCATACTAATCTGATTAGTCCCGCTTAACTAAAAATTATTGTGCAGGGACTAGTTGTGGATGATTGGGTCTTAAAAGTTTTGCAAAATCAGGTCTTCTACTGGCATATACAGGACCTATTCTGACTTTAACATGTGTTTTGTTCTCCTTTTGCAGTTACAGAAACATAAAGATGAAGATCTTTCGAGTTTGGTCAGGGTAGGTAATACCTGATAAGTGGCAGCATTTATGCTTGTAGAAGCTGTAATAAGTAACAAAGCTGTGACGTGCAGTAGCTTGCATTGATTAAAAACTAAAGACAAGCATCTTGCTTAAGCCTTAATTAAGGTTAGATACCTTAATATTTCTGCATCTTAGAGAGCAATGTAAGACTTGTAGCTTAAATTGAATGGAGGAGAGGTTGAGTGTAAAGTGCTGTGACAGAAGAAACGAGAATTAGTATTGGGTGCCCAGAAAGAACAATCTCTTTGAGGGCTGGCACATTGTTTCATCTTGTTACTGAGTCCTAGCTGGCACTACTGCCTTGCTTATGTAACTAGATCTGTGAAGGTGTGTGCGCTGCATGTTGCAGATCTTAAAAAAGGCAAAATGTTTAAAGGAACAATGGTATCACCATTTAGTATGCCCTCTAAAGCCATCAAACCTACTTTGGGCATATAAACTGATGATCAGAAGCACTGTCTGTGGTTTAAGGAACAATGGTATCACCATTTAGTATGCCCTCTAAAGCCATCAAACCTACTTTGGGCATATAAACTGATGATCAGAAGCACTGTTCTGTGGTTTTGGTTGTTTTTTTTTTTTTTCTTTTTGGAGTTAAGCATAAATCTGTACCTGTTCCAGTTTCACAAAACTCTCAGCTGTTTTGGCCGTGAGTTCCAATGCACCATTACAGTATGTTGGTGTAGTTGCAGCTGCATGTTGGCTCGGCCACAGGAACCTGGCTGTGTGTGCTTTTAGTCTGCAGCAAATGCAAGGCGATGTAATTTAGCTTAGCCTGTAGTGAAGGACGGGTAAGCCAAGTCACATTATGTTGTATTTTTCATGGGCTAAAACTGCACACAAGAATATCAACGTACCTTGTGCAAAGTCAGATTACAATTACACTTAACTACATTTCAGAGATTCAGATACGCTTCGGGATAGGAATTGTTTGCTTTGAGTTTTTGCTGTGCATGTTATTTTTAAATCTTTATTCAAACCAAGGGATCGTTAAACTGCAAAAATATACGTGTAATCAATGAAACTAGTGTTGATGAGGTTATTTTGTCTTATGTCCTTCTAGTCAACATCTGTTTTTTGGGAAAAAACCTTTCCCAGAGTATTGTGGTATTCTACTGAAGGTTTCTGTTGTTGCTCAAATCAGTGAGCTGAAGTTATTGTTGTATTTGAAGTACCGCTGATCTGTTTCAGTCCATTTGAAAGGCTCCTAAAGGAGAGTTTCTTTCTCGAAAAATGAAGATTGTTTTTATATATCTGCACCTGACTGCTTTAGCATTGTCTAGGCAGCCTGACTTTTCTTCCTTTTCTTTGGCAGGATGATGATTTGGTTCTCTGGCAAAAAAGAAGGTATGGCAGAGAAACCCCTGTCCCTATGGAGGAAGGCAGCCTTTTGGATGCAGATATGCTTATGTCCGAGTTCACTGACACGCTGTTCTCCACGCTGTCTTCGCATCAACTGGTTTCCTGGCCAAATTCCAGGGACATAGGTATTTGTTGGCTGTTAGCTACGTTGATTTTACAATGGGAACCTCTGGGAGAAGTCTGGTTTGTTGCTTTGCTGCTTTTCTAGTCTTGCCTATGAAATTTATCTTATTTTGCTGATACAGGTAAAAATAGGTCAGAGAATCTAGCTGTCTAATGCTTTATAGGTTATGGAATCCCAGTTATTCATCTAAATTTAATTTCTGTCTTGGCTTCTTACGTGCTGCTCCTAGCATTGTCCTCTAATGTTGTTCTGGATAAATCTGTAATGAGCAGTATTTACCTTTATCAGTATTGAAGGCATTGTTATTTATCTCAAAGCATGTATGTGTGTGTGTGTGTATTTTTAAGGCAATGCCAATGTATTTTTCTTTGGATATATCCGTTAGAACAAGTGCAAGTCACATCTCCTGTAAAAACAATCCCAAGAGCTACACAGTTCTGTCAAATGCTCTCTAACTCAAGGCACTGACTGTCTAACGGGACAGCAGATGTCCACTATGCATCATCCTTGCTGCACGGATGTCTAAGCTGTCTGAGCAACTCCAGAGCAACTATGGTTTACATGGAGTGTACTTGAGGCAAAATGAAATTGATGATGGTTTATTTTAAAGTACTGTGCTATGAGCTGTGGTGGTTCAGGTTGTGTTTCCCAGCACGTTTATGTATTGTGCAGCAGGGGTGGGACAGGAGGTTTGGGAGCAGGAGGTGTCCAAGCTTGGCAATCCCCAGTTGTTACTCAGAGCCTTCAGGTTTCACCTCTTCCATTTTACTAGTTGAAAGTTTCATTCCCCAATGGTTTTGATTTCAGAACTGTGCTGTAGCTCTGAAGAAAAGCAGATGCTCAGGTCATTTCAGCAGCAGTTTTTCTGTAAACATCCTGGCCAAGCCTGGCTGTGGAGTGTGTGTTGGTGTTGTAGCCAAATGCTATATTCTTACTGCTGTTACTGTGCAAGTGATGTGAAGCTAATCTAATCTGTTTCTTGAATTTTCCAGCACACTTAGGAAATGCTGACATGATTCAACCAGGGCTTATTCCTCTCCAGCCAAATTTTGATTTTATGGATACTTTTGAGCCTTTTCAGGGTAAGAATCAGACATATAGTCAATTTCTTTGAAATTGCAGTGATTTATGAACCAGTTTTTAACAGAATATTAAACATTGCAGATATCTATTCTCTTTAGAAGGCAAGAGATTTGAGTGAAAGGTGAAGAACACTTGATACATGTTTTCGTTGTTCATTATTTCAAGCAGATGCATATGTGGGTAGACTCCCTTGTTACTATGACCCCAGTCCTTTACTTACCTGGTTTTGAGAGTCACTTTAGGATTGTTTATTCCAACATTTGAACCTGGTTGTTAATTTGCCTTTCAAAAGAATAGCATTTAGACCTTAAGTCATTGAGTAATTAAAGATAGAACATCAGATGTGGACAGGCAAACTCACAGAATCACTAGGGTTTTCCCATTAACACTTCCTAGTGATGAAGCGATTTAACACTTTGTTTGCCTTGGAACGTTTTCTGGTACTCTCAAGAATTACATATGACATAAACTACTACTGACAACTTTGATGGTTATGGATCTTCCTGGAAGTCAAAAGTCATGTGTTTGCTGGGCCTGCATGCAGTCTGCATCAGATAACTGAATTTTGTGGGACTGCATTGAGAATCAGCTCTTGGCTATCTGTGTGTCGGTGAACCTTAAACAGCAAACTGATTTTTGTATTGTCTTCAACTTGCATGAAAGTTGAAGATGACTGCCCTGAAGAGATCAGTTCCTCTGGAAAACAATTCATTGCTCAGTCAGCAGCAGTTGTATGAAGCAAAAATCTCATGGTTTCATTATTTGCTAAATAGTATTTATATTCCTTTGAATTTTAGTATCTAGCAATGCTGTACCTTGAGTATGAAAAGTAGAAAATTAATAGGTGACTTTTCACTTTTCAGATTTATTCACACCCAGTCGTTCCAGTAGTTATTTCCCTTCTGTGTCTGCTGTCAGCTCAGCTACAACAGACAGCAGCAGCCATTCTTCCCAGGTAAGAGAGGTTCTCAATCTTTAAAACAACCTCGTCTCAGACACGTATGTGCTATGAAGACTCTCAGACATGAGCCATGTCCTTCTCAGAAGGAGTTCAGACAAGAGTTTCAGGGGTCATGTCTGAATCTGTAACATTTTTCTTTTCTGTCAGTCTCCTGTCCTGCCGTCGGGTTCATTGCCCAACACACTTCCAGCGGGGAACATCAGTGATGGACTGATTGCTTCCTCAGTACCTGCTCCTGTCATTCCTGATGTTGGCACTGACCAGTGTTCCAGCATTAGAAGCGGGGAATCTTTCATCCAGCCAGCGGACTTCACTCCCGACTCACCTCTCGGCGGGCCACAAACTTTTATGCCAGTGTTTCAGACACCCTTGCCACTGCTTCAACCTGCGACACAACAGCACCAGTCCCCGTTGCCTGCAGTGCCTCTGAATTCTAGCTTAAGCTCTCCACCAGCTGCGTTTGCTGCACCAGAAACCCAGAAGTTTGGCCTCTGTGAGTCTACAGTTATCACCCACACAGCTTCTGCTACGTTGACCCACAATGCCCCTGCCACCACCTTCAGCCAGAGCCAGAACGTTGTCCTGGCAATGCAGCAGCCAGGTGCAGGAGTGCCTTGTAACCTGGCTTTCCAGACTACTGTCCTGCAGGGACAGCCCCAGCCCCAGCTGCAGTCCCAAATGACATTTGCACTCCTCAAAGCTGTTCCTCTGGTCAGTGCTGGGACAAGGCCCAAAGAGTCACAAAAAATAGTGCCTGCTCCGAAGCCTGAAACAGTGTCCTTATTGTTAAAGAATGCCTTCATCACCCCAGGTGAGAAGCACTGGTGGTGCTCTTTTCTGAGTGGGACTAGCAGGAGGAAGAGACCTTCTTGCTTTTCTTGGTTTACATAATAAGTAAAATTCAGCTTCCTGAGGGTGTCCAAGGGACCCCTGAATTCACTGGTGTGTGGCTACACTGTTCAATGGGATGCTCTGGACTGCTGCAAGGATTGGAAGCAGTTTGGTTGTGAGTGTGAAAAGCCAACCTGCCAAAGGGGGTATCTCCTTGTAAAATTTGTGCTGGGCTGTATAGATGCATCAGCACATGGGATGACTAGAGCTCTGTGCTCCTACCCCTTAGAAACCTTGTTTTTGATGTTTAATGCTGTTCCGATTAACTCTGCCCCTCAGAGCATTCAACCACAGTACAGTAGGAGGTGGTAGGGAGATAGTGTGGGATGGAGAATGGCAGATCTGTCCCTGTCATTGACTCATCTGGTTGCCCTGGACAAGTCACTATGCCTACCTGTGCATCATCACACCCTGTAATACCAGGGTACTGGTGTACATCCTTTGGTAATACTTTGGATGTATTCTGAGGTTCATCTTAGTGTGCCTGAAACTCTTTGAGACTGAGTACAGTGTTGGCTAGGGAGCACCTGTTGAAGTGGGCCACAGTGTTCGTCCAAATGGAAGCATGGGAGTGTGCCTCTGATCCACCATCAGTGCTCCCTAGAAGGACCGGGGTGATGAGAATCAGTCCTTCCAGTGGGGAAGGACTAAGAACAGGCAGGGGGAGCTGGAGATCTTTGTCTCAAGTAATCTACAGACTCTTGAGATGCTGTCAGGAGTGCGTGGTTTTCAGCTCAAGAGTATGAGCGCCTAACTGATATGCTGGGACCTCCACATTGGGTATGATTTGGAGCCATTGGCACTGCACAAGGCTAAGAATAGCAAGTGTGAGCAGAGAGAGTTTTGCTTGTGGTGGTTCTTGTGGGAAAGCTCAAGACTAGAGCAGGACAGGCAGTACACTTTTTCTTGGGATTATTGCACACTGTTTTTAGACTTGTGCTGGCTGGGGGCCAAGTGACTTCAGCCACCCGAAATGTGCAACAATAATCCAAGAAAAACCCTGCCTGGAGGAATATTGTTAAACAGGCTTTACTAAGGGGTAGGTGTGTCTGCCAGGGCCTGGCATTGTGGTTACCCACCAAAAAAAAAAAAACAAAACATCACTGTTCAGGAGTAGAACAGACCCAAGGATCTAATTCTAGCATGTCACTGGGAACACGTTGGCCCATGATTAATAACACTAGGGTGTTAATGGCAGTGTTTCTGTCTATAGTACGTTATAAAGCAAGAGTCCATATACCTTCAGCAGTCAAGACGTGTTTCTCACCTAGTAAAGCATTGTAGGCAACTCTCATTTTCAGAAAGCCTTTGCTCCTAGCTTTCTTAGTGCTTGTTGGGTTGTTCCTCACCCCATATATCACTTTCCCAATACTTCGTCAGTTATTTCTGGATCATCACAACTAGCTTCTCATCTAGATTTAAAGTTGTTGCTGTTCTTCATTCCTGGCAGTGGGATCACAGTGCTCCTAAACTGCTGGAACACCAAGCTCAGAGGTCAAATCCAAGATTTTATGTAAAGACTGGAGCTTTACTTTTGGCAATAGAATAAACATCACTACTTGTAACTAAGGCAATGACTGTCATTTGTGTTCAGGACAAACAAATCATCTCATGACTATAAAACAAATTGCATTATAGCCTGCGTTAGAAAGGGATGTGTAACATTTACTGCCCTGTGATATAAGGACTCAGAAATCTGCACAGATTGTCTCATCAGGTGCAAGACTTCACATGGGAAAGAACTCTGCTATCACCACTTCAGGATGAATGTTCTGATCTTGAGAGGAAAGTCTGCAAAATATGTATGTGTAGGATAGAAACGTGAAAAATCTAAAGGGGCATCTAAATATGTGCTGATTGTTACAGTTACCCAAATGTGGAAGTCAGAAATACCAAGTTTGTGCAGCAGCATTAATGCATTGGTAAGAGTAGGCTCTTTAGCTCAATAGAGATGTCATAAGTCTGTCTGAACATTAGTGAACAGTGGAAGGGTTGTGATTCCAGCTTTATATGTGGGAATGCTCAGACAAAGCATGAACTCCCTGTATCAGAGTGACAGTGCTCTCTGCTAGATATACCCATGCAAGGGCTGACACGAGGTTTGTATGATCCACAGGCCTTTCTAATAAAGGCTATACAGAAACTTTAGCTGATTCAAAACACAGTTGTTGTTAGTTGCAGATGACACAGTAGGGGAGAGGACATTAGATATCCTGCACTGTCTCCCTGTTCTGCTGCGTGTGTCCTTCAATATCCTGATGCTAAACTGCAGAGGGGTAGTTTGGCAGTGACTGAGGTACTCTGACGCTTTTCATACATTGTGACTTTATTAGTACAAAGGGGAGCTGAAGCCAATACAGGCTAGAATGGAACTGAGTAAGTTTGGTTTAGTTTTCTCAAAAAGCATGCGGAAGCTGTGTCTTTGCATGATTCTTCCCTTAGTAACAATATAGGATGGTTAGTCATGTTCTCTCTAAAGTCTGGGCAAGAACAATGTCAACATTAATGCCATGTCAATAACTGTACATCTGCATTGGTTAAATTGAGACCTTAACAGATTTATGTTAGACTAGAATACTGTAGTGGTGAAAAAAACTTTAGAGCAAGCATCCCGATTTCTGTCATGGGGGCAAGCCTCCTGTGCAGACTTTTTTTGAGAATTTTTTGTAACTTTCTCTGTGGAGACAATTGCTGCTATTCGTAATTATTTCTAGCTGTCTAACACTGCAGAACTCCTGGTTCTTCAGCCTATTTTCTGGCATTTTGGTGCTGATTCCCAATCACATTTGGTTGTCTTGTGCTTGTGTGTCGTGTAAAGCAGCTGTAAAACCAGATAGTGAAAGAACCTAGTAGAGTGAAGTGGTGAGGAAGCATGAAGTATTGAATATGCATCCTTGAGCTGGTTTCTGTCATTGACCCTTTCTGGGTCAGCAGAGCAAGCCTGAGATCCAAGAAGTATGGATGGGAGAGGAGAGGTGAAGGTGATCTTCCTTCTGTGAAATCCAGCTCTGATAGAATGAAGACACTTTGCACCTCCCTGATTTACTAGGTACCTCTGTAAATTCATCTTGAAAGAGTGACAGTGATGCTAGAAGCCTCAGAAATAACTGGTGTGTTAAGAGTCCTTTGTACTGAATTCATGGGATTGAGATTATCAGAAAACTGGTGGCACTTTGTATTGCAATGAAATAGTACCAGATAGGTGCCCATTAATCCATTCCCCTGTTCAATGACAAATTATTTCATACAAAATAATCTTCAGCTTTTTTTTTTGTCTCATTAACTATTCTAACTTGTGTTCTTCAGCTGCCTTTCAGGGACAGTCCAGAGCTGTGATTGTAACTCCAGCACCTTTAAAAAGAGAGGGGATTTTGACGCCAGCCACGTCTCAGTCTGATGTTGCAATTGCACCAGCTGGAATTGTCAGAGTAAGGAGAAGAAAAAAAAATATTTGTTTTTTAGGCCTGTTATTTGCAAGTAGTTAGAGCCGTAATGTGCTCAGGAGGGTAACTAGTCCACTAAATCTCACCTGTTACCCAGCATATACATTTGTGCATTCAGCTTTATGCTTGCTTATTTTTAATGTAGCTGCTTTATGCTTTATGGAAACACTATCTAGTCTTCACAGACTCTGTCTCACACAACAGTAAGATTACAAAGAGGCATGTATACACAGTACTATGAATGGGGATGGTTTGTGCTTTTTATTAATCGTGCAGAAGCTAGAAGGAACCCAGGATGCTCAGCTTTCCATTTACATATTGGAAAGCATGCCTTGAGTATATGAGTGGGTTTCCCAATATGTTGTATGCAGGAAGGTGAAATAGTTTTTAGTATATTATGCTGTTGATGTGTTGTAATACTGCTTTAAGTTATGAAAGGATACTGGTCTCCTGCCAGAAGTTTAACTTCAGTGCCTGCCAATTCCTTATATATTAGCCCTTGTTTCATGTCATCAGATTGTTAATCATGTATTAATTTGCCACTTTTAGTGAAAGGCAAGGTAACAACTCTCTCTCTCTCTCTCTCTTTCTTTCTCTCTCCCCTCCCCCCCCAATCCCTTCCCTCCCTCTGCCCCCATCCCCCCCTTCCTGCTCTCTTTTTCTTTCTCTCTGTTTTTCTCTGTGCTATTTCTATGCTGTTCCCAGGCTCCCGGGGTGACGGAGTTCCATATTAACATTCTGGTTGGTCCAGCACAGCAAGCACCAAGTAGTCAACAAACCCAGTCCACAGCCTCACATCTCTTCTCTCCTAGCGTAGTCCAGGATGTGTTGGTGAAAAGAGAGCAAATCCCTTCCCACAGTAGCAGTTCACAAGTTCCCTCACCTACACCTAGTAAGTTAGAAAGCTGTAAGCATTCTCTCTCCCCTACACATGTAAGTGTGTTTCCATTGGTTAGGGTGTAAATGGGCCTTGAGGATTCCTGGATAATTTTTGAAGGAAAAGCTTTTTTAGGCCCTTCTACCCTGCAGCTTTGGTTGCATCCAGTTGTTTGCAATTTTTGTCTTAAACTACTGTGCAGCGTTCCCACAAACTGTGATTTTGTGCTTCCTGTAAGTGGCTCCTTTCTGAAAGGATGTACTGTCATAGTCACCAAGAAATTAAACCCGTTTGAAAGGCATCTGTGTAGAAAGTGCTGAATAGGTTTGTTGTTCAGTATCATAACTATAATTTTGATTGGAGGATCTCAGACACAATCCTTGTTAACAGCAGGTAAGTGCAAAGACTCCTTTTGCATGCGTGTTGATAGAGCGCTATCTGGGCCGGTTTTAGAGACATATGCTGGTTTTGCTGGTAAATGGCTTGTAAGTGTTACTGTCGTGTCCCAGGCCATTAGAGCCTCAAATGGGGGAGTTTAGCCGGCTGATGGAATTGCAGCCTACAGGTTCAACATGGCTTTGCTGAAATGTGTGTGTGTGAGGAGTATTTACAAATCACTACTTGTGATGTATTAGCCTTGTGCCATGAAATACTAAGCTTTCCCAGCAATCTTGACATTTTCTAGCATGTGGTTGCTGCATCAATGAGTATAATTTGGTTGCCGACTTTCATTTCAGTTCAATTCTGAATAGAAACTTCTCAGCAGTTACATTTGCTACAGAAAGTTGTTTGTTAATGAGACTTGTCTTTCTTCCTTTATGAAGGCCGAGACTGTCAGAATTCAGGCCAAGCTTCCCCCTGCACCTCTGAGCAGAGCCCCAGTCCACAGTCTCCCCAGAACAGCTGCTCAGGAAAACCTGCCACTGACCCTAATATGGCTGCATTTAAGGTGTGTGTCCTTTCCTTTGAGGTGCTTTTCTTCTTTGCCTTTGTAGCTACTTTTCTGCCCTCATGTCTGAGCATGGACTAGAAAGCAAGTTGTGCTTCAGGAACCACGGAGTATATTTGTGCCTTAGGCTTAGCTTGCACTGCATCTGTGCTGCTCTGTTCAATTTAAAATTTCAGACTTTAATAATCTGCTCTGCTCCTCAGGGTTGTGTCACCAGAGGGGCCAGGCTTAACTGTACCTCTGCAGGTCCTTATGGTCATGACAGCAGTTCCTACTGTGGTTCACAGGAGTGTTATGACAGGTCTCAGTTTACTTGGTCAAAGGTTTCAGGCTTAGTTTTCTAAACCATGGCTTTTTGCCATTGTTCTGTTGGGGATCTTCAGGTCTGCAGGGCTCTGGCCATCGCTGGAGAGGGAGTTCTTGACCTGCTGAGTTACTTACATGTCTCCAGTGATGCTATGCTGCTCCACAGAGAAGCAGCTCCACAGACTCTACAAGTTACAGCTGTAAAACCCTTCGAGAATTACTGGGGTAAGAACTCGGCGGTCTAGAGATAGCATCTGAAAGCTGGCTGTACCTCATACACAAGCTGACCTTGTCAGAACACTTTCTGTGATGGTATGAGAAGCTTCTCCACAAAAACCAGCCAATGCAGGAAAATCAGCTCTAACCCTCTCATTCATTCTATTGTAAAAGGCAGTGATACTTAACCGTTTTCCAAGTGCCAGACTCTTTTTGGCTTCTCTGTCTTTGTATACCCTATGAGTTGATGTCAGCTTGATTACTCCGAGGGCAGAAAGGTAAGTTTAAACACTCGCAGCCTGTGATTGCACTCAATCCTAGCTCTGCTGCAGAGGAGAATCAGAACTGCCACTTGCTGAGCATGCTGCAAGTTACTCGTAAAAATTTGCAGTTCTTTGCTTGGCATAAATGCTCACAATCAGTAGTTGCAGCCTGTTCTTGCTGCTAGAGAGCAAGTTAACAAAGGAACAAATTGTTAGGACTGGCCGATGGTGGGAAAGTGGCCACTAGATGGAGGAGTGTTCTTAAAAGTAAGGGCACTGTAATGAGATAGGCTTTGTAGCCATTTAAACTCACCTGCTTTGACAGGAATTGCTTTAGGTGTGTACTGTCAGTAACTCCTTTGTAAGACAAGAGAAACAGTGATGTTTGCCAGTCTCTAGATGTATGTTCTTTTGTTCCTCTGCACTGTTAGTTAGAGTAAACAGTTCTGTATTGCTGGGTAACATTGTTTTTTCAGTTTGGCAAAGCATAGAGGGCGCTGGAAGTCTCAGTTCTGCTCTTGAACCTGCATTATCTGTGGTTTTGGGCAACCACTTCACCGCTTTATTACGCTGTTTTCCTCCATTATAAAATGGGCTGATGGTGAGCTGCCATCAGAAAGCCTGGCTTTGCCAAGAATACATTCTCAAAGTGCAAACTCTTTATTTTCTTTCAGGGATTTTGGTGGAAACAACTTCTAAGTTTTTAATGCTACAAATGAAAATGTTAATTCCTGACAAAGCCTTTATCCTCAGGGTAGGCGAGAGTTGTGGATTCTTTTTTCTTTATTTTTGTCAGACTGCCTATTTACATCAGTATACATTATATATGTATTAGGAATAAATTATATGGACTGCTTTAAACTTAAAGGCTTCAACAAGATCCTAACTAATTACATGCTCAACAGTTGGAATTTGACTTCAGAAAAGGAAATTGTGTAGCGGTCTTAAATAGGAATTTTTACTTTAGGAAGAAAACCTTACAAGGTTTGGAATTGAATTTAATACACCGGACACTTCTTTTTAATAACTTCAATCATTGTTTGCAAATTTATAGTCATGTGGCTTTGATTGGGAAGACTGAATGTCACAGTTCAACAAAAATGACACTGTGAATTTGAATAGCTGAAACACTCATAGCAGTAGAACGGTAAAGGAGAACAGCATAGACTGAGCTAATTTTATTTATGCAGAATCGAAGAATGAAGCATATTTCAGAACAAAAACGAAGGTTTAATATCAAGATTGGTTTCAGTACTTTGAACAGCTTGGTTTCAGCCAACTCCAAGTCGGTAAGTAACTTGGCAACACTAACAGTTTAATATGGAATATAAGAAAGAGCCATTCTAAAAAGGCTTGTTAATAAATTTAATCTCTTCACTGTTGACTGAGAATGCCAGTCAGTCAGTGAAGATACTTGAACTGAGGGACTTGGAAAGGGAAGGGTGATAAATCCATGACTTAGTCAAGAGAATGTATGAAAGCGCTTCATCTTTTAGACATTGTTCTTCTGATGCAGCTTCAAACGTTGAACAAGTCTTGTCTGATGAGATGCTGCAGCTTTAAAGCCAACAGGGAAAGAAGAAAAACTGATCTTTGCAATCCTTGCTCTTGGGACCCCAGTAATGAAGATTTTTGTCATGTTTGCAGCGTAAGATGACTTTGCATTTACTGTTATGTCACCTTTCTTCTGACATACTGGCTTTTTATACCCATTCTGGATGGGTTCTGGTCCCCATAGCTGGACTTGAAAAAGCTATGATCCAGCCAGTATCGTAAGCTTATTCTGCCTGAACCATGAGCTAGCCAGAAGCCAGGTAGATGCTGTTAGTACAATGCTGGGCCTGGCTTAATATACCTTGACATTTGGCCTGAGCTAATATACCCACCGATAGGCACAGCTTGTTAGCTTAGGCTTCGTGCCATGCTAACCATAGCTGTGCTGTGTTTGGCCATCTGAGAGCATGACGGAGCAACCTTGTGTGCCTGCAAATACTGTTGAAACATGTCAGTGAGCCAAAGGAAGAACAAAAAAGTCCAGTGAAATGTCTAAAACTTCCTACAGCAGTGAGATCTCTACCCCCCAGGAGGAGTCAGGAGCCTGGCCAGTTCAGATGATTTTGAAAAATCCTTCTAGGACTCTTTACATCTAGTATCACCCAGCTGCCTTTAAGAATTTGGCCCTGTGCCCACAGCCTTGCAGATGTTCTCAGGGCTTTTTTGTCCCATCGCCTGTCTTTTGTGCATAGATTTACAGAGAAAAAAATTCCCACCTGACTACTTATTGTCAAATGACTTTGTCCAAATTAAGAACATATTCTGGCTACACTAGTTAACTTAGTTCACTAAATTGAAATCAAGATAATTGAAACACAGACTTGTCTGCACAACAAAATTCTAAATGTCCTTTACATACCAGTACCTTTTGAAACATGGAAAATACAAAACCTTATTGTGCAGCATGTTGATTTGTTTACATAATTTTTATAGTTTTATACATTTAGGCCATAAGTTGTCAGAATTTCAATTCCTGATTTGAATAGCCTATTTGAAAGGTAATCAGTTTTGAAAACTCAGCTTTAGTAAAAAGTCTGATTATTTTATTTCTCAAGTACAGATTTTTAATTCGTTCCTCAAAACTGAAGGGTATTTTAAAAAAGTTTTGTGACATTGTTTCTGTCTCCTTTGGTGATAGCTAGACCCTGTTAGCTTCTGTTTAAAAACTTCAGGTTTCCCAAACTAAATAATCTATGCTGTCAACTTCAAACAATGCTTCTAACAGCACTATAAATCTATCAGCAGATGTAGCACATCCTTCAGTACTTCAGTAAAAATTGTAAATATTTTTAAGAAGATAGGTAATGAAATAAAACATTTTAAATTATTAAAATACTTCTTTCAAAAAAGTAGCAAAAATGTAATTTGTGGAAGAAAACAACCACAACAACCACCACAACCACATTTCTCTGTACTAGTGTGCAAACAGGAGTCAGAGAAATGAAGAGTTGCGTATTATCTTAAGTGTTTCGCTCTGCCTATCTGTGTGCTTTTGCACACAGTGAAGGAAACTTAAGAAAAGGTGCTGAAGTGCTTTTCTAGGTGTTACAGCAGGTTAGGGGCAAACTCTTCATCTGTCTAGCTTTGTTCCAGAAAGTGAGCTCTATGTTTGTGTTTGGTCTAGATCAGCCATGCAATCATGCTCCAGAAAACAGTAGAATATATCGCTAAACTACAGCAGGAAAGAACACAGATGCAAGAGGAAACCAGGCGCCTTCGGGAAGAAATCGAGGAGCTAAACGCTACCATCATGTGAGATTTGGGGAGCTTTCTGTAATGAAGCAGAGCAGCTTGAATGTTGCTTTGGCTAACAACAGGGAATATTTGCCTCAGATGTCATGCCAAACAACAGATAGGTATTGAACAGAAGTGGAGTTGCTACCAACTTTCAGACAAAAAGCATAGTTGCTGTGGGATGGGCATTGATAGCAAATCGTGTGGATTTTCAGCAAGCTCTGAGCATGAATGCATAGCAGTGGCAGCATCAGAAAAGATGCATCAGGTCAGTTAGAATAATTCTGAGAAGAAGCCAGTGACAATGTTTTTTTTTAAAGCTATGCTCACTGGGTGATCATACACTTTTACTCTTCATGATGGCGTTGCTGCAGTTTTCCTTCCAAATGCAGTCAATTTTATAGGGAAATATGATTGAGTACATAAGACGCAGGACTTGGAATCAAGGGGCTTGCTACTGGCTGAACATAACTCTGATAAGTCACTTCACCTTTCTGGTGCCTCAGTTTCTTCTGTGGGTTTACGATAGTTATGTACTATCGCAAAGCATGTTGAGAACCCCAGTAGTTTTTCTTCCCTCTGCAGAAGTGTTAGACTTACCAGCAAATCAAGATTTTTTTTTTTTTTTTTTTTTAAAGTATGATGATGTCTGTTTGGTTTTATTTTAAATTGATCTGTGTCTTAAGAATCTCTGTAGCATTTTGTTCTGTAACATTGCTCAGGAGTAACTGTAAATTTTTCCTTGACTCCTAATGTGCCTTTTTCTAATTGGATGCCAAAAACTACTTTGTTCTATGTTTTACTTTGTTTTCAGTTTTGTTGCTTGTAATAAGAAGTATGTAGCAACTTGAGAAATCGCTTTGCTGCATGAATATAGACAAAATTGATGGGAAAACAGTATGTATTCCTGGCTATAACAATTACATTCTGGGGGGGTCATGCACTGAGAAACCACCTTGGTCAGGGATCCTGGGATACACACTTTTCTCTTGCTGTAATTTAGTCTGGAAGAGAAGTGTATCCTTTCTGGTGGGGATTCTGACCTCAGAACATCTTCTTTTCAGTTCTTGTCAACAGCAGCTCCCTGCTACCGGGGTTCCCATAACACGGCAAAGATTTGACCACATGAGGAAGATGTTTCATGAGTATGTGAGAAGCAGAACCCTGCAGAACTGGAAGTTTTGGATTGTATCCTTTTATATTAACGTGCTGAACTTGAGGTTTGGTACTAATATATTTAGAGACAAGAACTCTGGATTCTGATGCTGTGACTTTAAGCCAAGTTATTTAAATAACATGTCAATTTTCATTCACATCTGTATGTGGGTATGAATCCTTGCCTTACCAGCTGTCGTGAGGCAGAACTTGTTCACCTTAAAGTATGGGAGGTAACCTGAAAGTAAAATGCAATACAAAGGCAAGGTTTTCTTGGTGGGTTATTATACTGCAAGAAACGTTTAATGGACGGCTTCTGTAATTGTAGCTCTTGCAGTCTTTTGGAAAAACTGAACAGAGAATAGCAAAGATTTCAGGGGAAGAAAAATTATTACAAACAATTACTGAAGCTGTTGCAATGGCAGTTTTAAAAACTTGCACGTTTCTCTTCGGGTTTTTTCTCTTTTTTTTCCTTTTTTCTTTTTTAGTTTTTAGTTTGTCTTTCATTGCAACAGTTAATCAACTTAGTTTCTCTTTGCTTCTCCAATGCTAGCAGCTGTGCTTGTAAGGGAATGATAATGCAGCAGGTAGAAGGACACAAACTGAATGAAACCAAGTTAGCTGCATTTGTGCTGTGCTGTATAGACTTAACTAGTTTGGATCAAACATTATTAGCTTGAATCAGTTCAGGGATATTAGTAATTAGCAATGAGCAGTAGTGTTAACCTTCCCTTTTCCCATTAAACTTCGTATGTTCATACAGCTATATTTTTTATGTCTGTGTTCTGTGCTGCTTATTTCCCTCTACCTGGATAATATGAGTATATATGTGCATGCTTGTGCATGCATGAAGTATAGCATTTTTAATACTTTGATATGTGAAAATGCTTTCTTTGGTGTTTCCTGGTTTATGTTGGCCCTAGAAAGATACTATTCCTTTTAGCATGCTTTTAGGAAACAATTCTTAGCAAGATCTCACGCAGCCTCTGATAACTTAGAGCTGGTGCAGCTGTGGAACCTCTGGATTCTACAGCACTATTAAGTCTGGAACAATTTGAAGTGAATTACGAAAATAGGGGTCTTCAATATATCAATGAAAATGGTTATTTAAAGACAATCCTGCACGTGTTTTCTGATTGGATAGTGTGTTTATTTTATGCTGCTCCAAGATGTTAAATAGCTCCAGAATTTGGAAGTGAGACACTTCTAGAAAGTGGCAGAAGTTATCAGGGATAAAGATGCAGTTTTGGGTAGCTGGGTTTTGTAGTATTTGGGGAAAGACAAAGGCTTTTGTAGTTGGTGAAAGAGAAGGTTGGTAGGCAAAGTAACGTTCCCAAACTTCCCTTTACAAATCAGGATGTAACTGTGACGGAACAGTTGTTCTAACAGCTGGATTGAATCCTTAGCGCATGCTGACATATTTCAGAATGTCTTGCAGTAAAAAGTTGACAAGGTCCAGGGGTGAGTGCTAATAATAATAAAAAAATCTCCTCCTCATGTAATGACTGTAAGAGAGAGAAGGGCAGTTTCATTACAAAAATGAAAATACCATAGATTCTGTTGCATATAGGAGGGAAATGAGTAATCTGGTCCTGGGCTACTAGAGATAACCCGAGAATAGAATACTCTTGAATATTAGAATATCGATAGAATACCCATGTTGTTCTTCCAGTCACTCTGTAAAAGTCTGTAAGGGGAAGCAAATCCCTTCAAGTATTCCAGGCAATTGTTAGACCTATCTTGATTGTCAGCCACAGTGAGAAAGATGGGGGTGCATGACAATGCTGAGATTGGTTTGGGACACATTCTCACATGCTGCTGACTGTAGTCAGAAAATCCCATCTGGAGAAACATGGTAACATAAAGCCACAGATTCTGAGCCTTCAGATGAGTTTTATCATCCAGCCAGCTTCTGAAATAATTGTACGCGTAAGCTGGAATCTACTTAGTGAATTATCATGGCGATGTTACAACAAGCTGTTTTGAGTTCAAACATGGTGACCATTCCAGGAAAGCTCATCTGAAAGCCTGGGAGCTGGGACCAACTGAGGCTTGTGGTGGTGGTCTGTACATTTTAATACACTACTAGCTAAGAATTCTGTCTGCTCCTTTTCTGCCAGGAAGGTTATTGCCAACTCCAGGCCCGTCCTTCCAAGCTGTGATGATAGAGAGCCAAAAGAAAAGCTTGACAGTCCTTAGCTTGCTACTGTTCTGGTCCACACAGATGCAGATCAGCAAGTCTGGTCCTTGGTGTGGGAATCCTTGCCACGCCATTGATCATCTCTGAGAATCTGCTTACGTACTTTGAGGTCTTTGTTTAGCTGCAGTAGCAGAGAACTTGAGTGTTTGCTGAAAAATCTGCCTGAGAAATTGGCTGAATACTTGCACTGTTGGCCTGTGCTGGACTTACTATTGCCAGGCAAGACCCATCCAGGTACCCCACCTTGGATGCATCTGTGGTGTGCTATGGAAGTGGTGTGGTTACACTAAAGCTTCTATATGCTTTTGCTAGGAAAGCATCAGCGTGGCTTTCATGAAAAAGTGACAACGAAGAAGTTGAACGAATTACATGTATGTAGAAGTTTCAGATACTTATGCGCTTGCAACAGTGCCACAGCGTGCAGTTGGTTTGTAGGAGATCAGGTGATCAGTTGTACAGGAATTTTGCAAAAACTAATAAGTATCACTAGGAGCTGAGGTTCAATTTTTTCCTTTGTCTTAGTGCTACAGATTTCAAAAGATATTTTTTGAAATGTTGCAATCCCTCTAGTAGTTGAAGTCCGTTTAGAAGTCCACTGTTTTCTCTGCAGACTGAGCTGTAGTAGCCTTTCCCATAGAATGTTTTGAACTCCTCCTTTGTTGTCTCCCTTAACGTTTGATGATTTGCAGTTCAGCATTATTATTAAGCCATTGTTTGAGTCCTTCAATGGGATGGTTTCCACAACAAGCTTTAAGGATCTGAATCAAACTGCAATGGCCTGGTTGGATCAGCACTGTTCTCTTCCTATTCTGAGGCCAAGTAAGTGAAGTTCTGTCCAGCAGTTATTCCAGATCATAGAAAGTAAGACGATATACAAAACTATTTCTTGAAAGTCAGAGGATGACAAAGCAAGCACATGATGCTGAATATGACTTCCAGTTCCTTTTTATCTTAGTGGAAAAAGAACAACCTCTTTTGCCTGTGAAGGCACTTGGTTGCATGCTTAACACTGAACAGAAAAAAAAACCCAAATTGCTGAATATAGATACCAGAATTTAAACAGTCTCAAGCTTCATTTAAATTTCAAATACTCTGCTCTAGCTGGAGTAAGTTTGGTAGTGTGATTTATCTCACTGTGAAGGAAGACTTCTGAGATTTGTATTCAGCTTTGGAATGACCTTCTGTTTGGGCATGATTGCTTGATCCTTTCCCCCTTGCAATTCAGCAAGTGTTTACATTTACAGTTATAATTGCCAAGTGGGTACTCTCTTTTGTAGAAGAAATAGAGGTGTTTTTTTAAACGTCCTAAATCTCCATTCCTTGTTCCCTGGGCACAGTTCTTGCACACCTCTGATATTGCTGTCGCTGTGTGTGGAGGTATGCATGTTTTGCAGAAGTATTTCCATAATTCTGTCGTGCGTAACAGCCTTGTAGTACCTGCACACTATGCTGCATGGATCTGTTCACAGTCAGGCTAATGGCTTTTCTTGATACTTTTGACTTTTTTTATAGTGGTGCTGAACACCCTTCGGCATCTAAGTACAACCACCTCAATTCTGTCAGATCCATCGTGCCTGCCAGAACAAGCCGCTGAGGCAGTTAACAAGATGAACAAAACAGCTGGCGAAACCTAACAACCAAAGACAATGAGTTGCTTATACAAGGGGTGGAGAACCTGCCAGTCTAGCAGCCTGGCGAGTCTCCTTTCAGTTGGTGCACTTTAGAAAGAATTCTCTCCATCACCTGAGACATCGTTCAGGGCATCTGGCTCTGCCTTCAGAATATGTGGAAGTATGATGCAACATTGTCATAACGTTTTGATTCCTCTTCAGTGCTGTGCTGTACTCCGTTAAGTGAGAAAACACCAAGCTCAGGTAAATTTAGCAGGTTTGAGTCCTGCAGGCAGCAATATATCTCCATCAATGCAGCATGCATCTATATGCAACAAACATATTTCTATGAAACAGCTTCAAGTACTAAGTTCTCTGAAGTGTAAATCTTGTACACCAAGGAATGTTCTCTTAAAGGGGAAATATACTTTTGATTTCATGAAACAAAATGTGCTTTTTATTTTGTTTTCTGGTATTCAGTTCCATTTGTTTTACTTGAATAGTGAAAATTGTTAAACAGGATCACATTAAAAACCAAAGGAGAAGAAAATCCGTCAGTGATGTCAACTCATGGCAAAAATACTAGAATTAAAATCTCAGGCTGTGTTTTGTGTATTTTTATTTTAATGAGTGTATCATTGCATATGATCAGTTTCAAGACATGCTTTATTTTCTAGCAAATAAAGTAGCTGATTTTTATTATTTTTCCTGATATAGCCATTGCAAGTGAGTAGCAGGCTATGCAGTAAGTGCAAAAAAGCAGTTTAGATTGCACAGATTCTGCAATTAGGATAGATACATGAATGTCATACCCATTTAATCTGTGAACTGTTTTCTTGCACTCTGCGCAGTTCAGCTGCCTTCCTCATGAAATGTGCGCATATCAAACACATCCATAGATAAAGTAGTAGCGCTTCAGAGACAAGAATTGAGTTTATAATGTTAAGAAATTGGCTTTTTTGTTATCTCAGAAACTATATCAAATCACATGGCCTTGTAGTCAGTTCTTTGCTTCTTCATCTTTTTTGCTTGTTCTTTTTGCCTTCTATCTGGAAAACCTGAATGGCTTAGCTAAATTTGGTCTGTATTCAGCATGAATTACAAAACATATAAAAATATGTTTAAAACCCGAAATACTGCATAACATTTTTCTGTGACAGTCTCAGCAAGTACTGTGCTCTGCTGCAGATAAACTTAGTCTCGTTACAGCAGTGACAGTCTGTCCATCCTGAGACAGCACTGGGATGTTCATTCCAGCTGATTGTTCGTAGTCTGGAATGATCCTATGACCCTTGTAATTCTACTCGTTACTTGATTCTGATTCTTGAGAGCTATGCAAACTGTGGGTAACGTAGTTTTCTTCTAGTTTTGAAAGCAGGCTGCCTGGAGCTGATTAGCAGGCTATCACAGTGCTGAAATGAGGAGCAGCTAAAACATTTGGGCATTGCACATGCTTAAATGAGGTCAGTAGGTTCTCCTTCAGGGGATGTAGTTTTTCTCTGAGTTGTCCCCAGTCTTCTCCACTTGGTGGGTCAAAGTTTAAAAAGAAACAATAGGCTTGGGGAGTGGGACTAAGCACAGGGAGTATTTTTCTTTCTTCTTTGTCCTGAGATTTTGCAGCTAATGGCTTTCATTGCTCACACATCGCATTGTGTGTGAACAGGGCCCTCTCCCTGAGCAGAGGTACTGTGAGTTGAGGAGTTGGGGGCTGAAGGGGACGGCTGGGGGGGAAAGGAGCCGAAGGGAAAGACAAAATGGCATGATCTAAATACCAACATGCCTTTCTGTAGCTGTGCAGGTAAATGAGGAGATGCTACTTTTTTTTTGGTGTTTTGTTTTGTTTTGTTTTTTACAGTAGATCTGACAGGTCATTTGAAGTTTGTGGCACATGTGAAAGCCTGTGTCCCTGTGACAGAACCAACAAAAATCCAGGCCTCAGCTAAGGAATGGTTTGTTGAAATAGTGTATAAAGGTTGTCATAGTAATTAAATAGTGAGTAGGTTTTCAGGGGGGATCCGTATCTAGGTCTTTCGTAGATAATGTTGTAATCAATTAAGCAATATCCTTTGGGATGCATCTGGATAAAAAACGTTGAATAAGTGTGAATTCTTTTTTAAATCAGTGCTTTAAATCCTCCCATTTTTATCATTGATTGTGAACTTGATTCCAGTAAAGTCATTTAACACTGTGATTAGCTGGGGAGCATCCCTCAAGTTCTTTCTTTACTGGGCTATCTCACTGAGATGCATAGATAGCTACATGCATATGTGCATGTTAAAAATATGTATCCGGTTTTCTAGAAGCAAATCAGTAGGCAAATTGTCCAAGAACAGACCCACTTGTGGATTTGCTGTACTTTTCAAGTGAACAGATTCTGTAATGCCTCCTCCACAGTGTGGTCTCCTGCTTGTCAGGCAGTGGTTGTGCTTGATTTTTACCATTACTAGTATCAAAGATATTAGAGTTTTGTCTCAACAAGCAAAGTGCACTACAAGCATACTTCAAAGCCCAGGGAAGTCTGACAACTTCTAAGCTTAAATCCTAACATCTCAGTTCTCACTGAATGGATTGGAAGCTGAAAGGGATCTTAAAGGAATAGGAAGGGGTAGTGTGACTGAACTGCTAAAAATTTTGTCCATTAGCAGTTTTTATCTGGATGTGGATGGAAAAACCATCATGCTCATTGCACCATGAGTTGGTTACAATTGGAGGGAAAGTGCTTATTTTACTAACTTGTGGTGGAGAAACAAGCTCATGGCACTATTAAAAGACTGCAAATCTTAACTTAGTAAAGAGAAAAAAATTAAGTCAAAGATTGCTTACTTAGGCAAGAGTGTAGGAGGGAGGGAAGTAAAAGTGAAAAGATACTTTCCACGTAGTGCAATTACCAGAAATTATGTGGCTGCTCTTTGAAGCAGTGATTCAGTATATTTTTGTCACCCTATTATTGCAAATCAGAATTCTTTTCTTTTATTAGTCAACCTTGTGAGGGGTGTGATTTCACTTCATTTGGAAACACAGGAGGAAAAAGCTGTATTATGTCTCACATCTGTACAGTAGAAGTACTGAGGATTGGTATGAGAAGAGATTGACCTGACCATGTATGTATTAATTCCTACATAGTTTTCCACTTTGGTTTATATTTGAACTCCTTAGTCTGTCTCTCTTACCCATCGAGGAGTCTAAATACTATATTTCTTTAAAAAAAAAAAAAGAAATTGGTAACACTTTCTCCCCTAATTTAAGCTGTCTAATTTCATCAGTGTCACCAAAGTATACTTAAGCAAGCAAAACACACGGTGCCTATACTCTACACAGAATTACAGATGATGCACGTCTGTCTTCAGTGAATTGGTGCTAAACTTTTAAAGAATCGCCATATAATTGAATACAAGTCATATTTAGTCAAATCCAACATATTTCACTCAATAAGGGAGTGGCTAGATAAAATATTTATGGCCTGTGATATGCACAAAGTCAAACTGAGATTGTCTAGTGGCTCCTTCTGACCTTGAATTCTATTAATCAGTATATTGTAGATGGCCCCCACCCCAAACACAAGTTCTGGAGAGCTTGTGCATTATCTGATGTAGTTATTGGGCTTGTATGATGCTTCCTGTTAGCAGGAGGAGTAAGTGGTGAAAGTTCAGGAGCAAACTAGAATTGAAGGAATTAATGAGTAGTAGGAACAGAGACAAGTGCATGCTTCATTTTGACAGTCTGATCTCTGGACAAAACCAAAGGATTCTTAATTAATACTATTTGACCTGATTGGCATGTTCTTCCATGCTTTTCTAGACCCCTCGGGAAGCCTTCCTTGAAGGGAGACTTAACTAGAATGTTTCCATCTGTGCCTTAGATCTTGGCGTCCTGTATGCATTTGATTTATCTTAAGTCATACATTCTTCCCCCTAATACAGTGCTATGTGGAAAATTCAGTGAATTGACGAAGTGGGGCTTCCCTGGGTTTTAAGAGTATTTTATCTGCATGGCATTACTGTGTCCCTTTGAAACTGAGGTTGTGAAAAATTGTGTGTATGTATGGAAAAAATTGCGTCTTTCCTGCTGACTTCACCGTCCTCCCCTCCCATGTACACACGCACATATGCACACACGTACATACTGTCATACCAAAAGTTTGACAGAAACCCAGTGAATATGCAAATGCTTAAATCTCTAAATCTGGAATGGCTTGAAAAGATAAAGGGCTGTCAAATTGCATTGGAAAATAATATCCCTTTACTTTGTACCTTCAGGTTTGGTTTTTTTACATTCCCTTGAGAGTGTGTGTATGCAAGTGTGATAGGGGTGAGAGGGGCAGGTAAATTTTGCTTTGGTTGCTTTTAAAGCCCAAAACTCCTGAAGAGCAGTTTGAGAGCAGGAGAGGGAAGCTCACTGCAGAAACATTCAGTAAGATAATGCTTTTGTAGTACAAATTATTTGAAAGCTATTTCACTTTGTTTCTGGAGTGGATAATTCTTGCCTTGATGTTGCCAACTAGAAGATACTGCTGAAAATAGAATGGGGTGTTAAATATTTTGACCTTTTTCTTTCTTTCATTCTTTCTTTCTTTTTTGGTTCCTTTCCACCTTTTATTGCATGGAAAAACACCCAAAATCAAAAGGCTGATGATACCTGCTTTAGGTGCTTTAGGGATTCAGTCATACCAATCTCGAAGAACTATGGACAACTGTTGATGACTTTTAGGAGGTTTTTTGATGAGGTGAGGCAACAGGAATTTTCCTATTACTCCTCCTTTATACACTTGAGTTTCAGAGGACATCATTTGTTTTGGGGTTTTTTCTTTTATAGGGCCCCAATATTGTTCCCACAACATCAGTTCAGGGCTCAAGTTTCCTTTTGTTTCATCCTTGGTTGGATTTCATGCTCACTTACTGTGTTAGAGCGGAAGTAGTAGTACCAAATTGTAGATTGATCCATAAAACTTGATTCAGTTAAAAAGAAACACATCTTAGGTATACAATAGAATGACTTTCTAGCCATTGTCTGAACTGCTTTTATATCTGAACTTTTCCAACATGAATAAGGCTTTGAATCAAAAGATATCAATGTTAGGAGCAAGCCTTTTAATTAACAATACAATGAATAAATTGCTCTTTTTCTTCTTCTAACCTTGTATGTAAACGTGTTTTAAGTGAATGGAGTTCATTCTTGTTTAAAAAAAAAAAAAAGGGCAAAAAAAAAAAAAAGCTTGGAGGTATGAGGACTTCAGGTTGTGCTCTTGCTTTGCCTAGGTTTCCTGTTCTGTTGCATGACACAACTTCTGTTGTGCTGTTGATATGTAGCACTTTTCAGTAGGTCTGTTAAATTGTGCAATGCATTTTTTTATATTTACAACCAAAACAATAAAGGTTATTTTTTGGAAGAAACTGGTTGTAATGCCTTTATTTTCTAACTGGATGTGGGGAAATGGTAAGTGGAATTGTTCCTGGACCAGGACCAGCACCTGTCATGCTTTTTGCAAGTCTGAAAAGTGACAAGAGCTCATTTCCCTATTAGCAATGCTGAAGTTACCCCTTTGGGATCTGTGTGTTTGGCTTTCCCATTGCAAGGCTTGTATCCTCTGTTGAGCTTCTGAAGCTTGGACTCCTTTTAAGAAACTTGGTGCCCCTTGGGCCCTTTTTGACTGAAAGAATTAACTCACTCTGAGCTTACTTGGAGTTTACAAGTGATTTTTTTTTTCTCATGCATTGGCCACCAGGCTGTATTTGCTCTGTGCTGGGTTGTTCTCTGTCTCACCAGAGTAAGTGTTAGCCAGATTAGCAAAAATTGAAAATTACCCTCTGTAGTCAACTCCGCTCCCCTTCACTGAAGCAGCTTAGAGACTGGGAATGAACAGGTGGGCTAAAGTACCATCTCCACAAGTCTAGGTGTCTGCAGAGTGTACATGTTTCTTCACCCTAAATAACCAGTGAGCCTGCTCTTTCACACTTTGCATAACATAATTTTCAAAAAGTATTGACGTTCTGATGTGTTCCTAAAGTGATCAGACCCTTATTGTTGTTAATTATATTAAGGATAACAGTGAGAGCGAGCTCTTTTGGCAAAACTAAGCAAACATCTATTTATTTCTGCACCTACTTCTCACAGGCTAGTAATTCAAATGTAGCCCTGGTATTTCTCTAAGAAAGGTAAGACTCTTAAGCCTGTAGGGGCTGCACCAATGCCTTCAGCCCTGATGGTCTTATTTTCTTGCAGGCTTGGATTTGGGGCTCTTGGCTGACTTACTGCCTGGACAGTGGACTCCACAGAGCAGCACTGAGGCTGGATAGCACGGTATTCCCATGGAACTGATGTCAGTGTTAGGCATTGAGCTGCTTAAGTCCATTTAAAAAAATGAAACAAACAGCATTTCATCTTTGCCCTTAATGACTGATTTTTGTTTTTTTCCCCGGTAGGACCCTTCAGCTCTCTATGCTTCAGTTGTCACCTCATTGGTATATTGGATTTTCTTGCCTAGTGGAAGCAGCATTGGGTGACTGAGGCTATTTTAAAATCATTGCACAGGAGTTGATGCTGGTTAATCTCATCCTTGTGATTGGTGGCTTTGACGTAACAGAGCTCATGAGAACTTTTGATGAGTCAGGCCTGTGGTTCCAGGAGAAGGTGTAGCAGTTTTCTTACTCTGATTGCATTTAATTTTTTAAATATCTCTAGCTTAATCTCACATAAAGCATTTTGGTAGAAGGCAGTGATTCTTCACTGCTATTTAAAAAGCGATAAACCAACACTTCAGCCTGACTTCACTCTTGACCAAGCATATAAATGCCAATGTTTCTGCAACGTTGCTATCAAACCTCTCTGGGAGGAACAGTGCTATTTCAACAGCGATAAACCAACACTTCAGCCTGACTTCACTCTCGACCAAGCATACAAATGCCAATGTTACTGCAATGATTCTATCAAACTTCTCTGGGAGGAAGCTGTGGCTGGAGAGCACTGTTTCTTTACTACTGATTTTGTGGTGATTTCAGTGAGGCTAGTATAACTGTAGCTGATATGCCAAAAGACAGTTATTGAAATGGCTTATTTTTGTGGCCGATTCTGCTAATGCTTGAACAGTGCCAAAAGTGGACCTACACTTGCTCTGTGGAAGTTATGCCTAATTAAATTACTGCTGTAAGGGAATTGGCACTTCAATGGGCAAACAGTTCAGGGCTCTCCTTATATGTGAAAGAACAGAAAGCAATGCTCACTAGATTTTTTTTTTTTTTTTTTAAACCTGGATTTACCCGCAAGAGCTCTTCTATGCATATTCTCATCCCTGAGGACTTTTTCCTCCTGAGTGTGCTCGTCACCAGGAGGTGGGCAGGCAATGAATAGTTGGGTGTTGGGGAAGTTCCCTGTGTGCAAACACAGAACAGTCCCTGTTGTCATCCAGAGAGATGTTTAACATGTTCCTATCTCGGAACAAGGTGTGTGTATCGCAAACCCCAACGCCTTTCCATCACAAAATGGAAACAAACCCACAAAAGATTAGACTCATCACATCCCTAAGTCCTGCTGCTGCCTGCCCTTTTGACACTTCTTACAACACCCATCTGTGACTCCTCCATCTCAACAGTAAATTCCTCATAGGCCTTGAAAGCCGACAGCTTCATTTTCGATCAGGATAAATGGGGAATTGCTTGTCAAGAAAGCTTTGCCGGTGACTACCTCATTATCACAGCAGAGATGCACCATGTGGCACAGGTGTATCCCCCAACTTCCAGCCCTCCAGGGCTGAGAAGGATTTCTCTGAGCCCTGATGATCCTGCACCAGGAAGGCTACGGATTTGCAGATGTTCTCACACTGTTCCGTCTGGGGTTGGCAGCCTTTTCCTCTTGGGAGAGTGCCTTGTCTGAGCCTTTCTCTCTGTGAATGCTCAAGTAATCTTTTGAGAATCTCTGGGCTTCAGCGTGAGCTTTTGAGCACTCTGCCTCGGGCGTGGGCAGCAAAGGTCCTGAGAGTCTCTTGCAAAGGAAGCCACACAACCACCTCTGCATTAGGGCTACTGTTGGCTCTCACGTCTTCTCTTTGCTATGCAGTCCAAGCTCAGTCATCCAGCATGTGACTCTAACCTGTTCAATGTCCCTCCCTTTTCTGAAGCTGCCCCATCTTCTCAGAGAAGTGGGAAGAGCTTATCAAAGAAGACGACTCTACATCTGCCCAAGGTTGGCAGGGGACCAACTGTATCGAGATAGACGAAAGGACAGTACCTGAGCAGCCACACATCCATAGGCTGCCTACAGAACCTAAATAAACTCTATCTGACATCAGTGGCTGTTTGCTATATGAGCTTGCAGAAATGAGCATAATGCAGATGTCAGAAGTGCTTTAGTGATAGATACAGTTGTGTCACTTTATGCATCAGACTATCTGCAGTTGCTGTTTCTGTCTCGCTTACCTAAGCATGCGCTTACACTCTCATTCTGACTCCTCAGTGAGGTGCTGGTCATCACTTCCTGACCTCAGCCCTTTGAAGTTTGATGTTCTGGTATCAGCCAGCCTATCTGCCTTGCTGCATCCCAAATGCTTGTGGCAAAGCACCGTTCTCTTTCAAGGACATGTGAGGAGAACAGCGGCTTGCCACAGTTTTGCATAAGCTTGTGTCTCCCTACTTCAAGCATGCATCCTGTGCGCCCGAGCTCAGACTCTCGAGGTGAGCCGAGTCTGCAGGGCTGGCAGTACAGTTCTGTGCCCCCATGGGGAGGAACAACTCTTTTCTTTTTCAGGTTGCTCTTCCCATGACGTGAATGGGGACAGACCATCTGACGCATTTCAACATCTTGCTTGAGCTTCTGAGGAAATCTGTTTCCCTTTCCAAGGAAAACACTTTCATTTAGCTATTTACATATTCAGAAGGTAAAAGAAAAGATGTGCATGAGAGAAGAAACCGCAGGGAGTGGCCCTGTGTAATCCTCTGGTTCAGCAAGGTTTAAGTGGTTTGTGTCAACCTTTGGAAATGGTGATGTCTAAGCCCTCAGGATGTAAATGTCTTCCTGCTTGTAGTGGTTTGCTGACCCTACCTGATGAGGTCAGCAGATGTTGCTTCTGCCTTGGGGATAAGCACATCCCCAGTCAGTGATCCTTTTCCATTCACTCTTCTTTCTCTATTAAAAATTAAGGATATGAGGTTGAAATTGCACCTTTTGGACCCTGGAAAAATTGGTAGACCTGGAGCTAAGCAGAGTAATTTGAGAGAGTGCCCCAGCCACCAGTGCGTCTCTGCTTCTCACAGGGGTTAGCACTGAGACTTCCAGGACTGGCAGGTGCCTTTCTGATGCAGAAGACATCATGAGCAAATACCCACCTTTGGACTCCCTGTGCTTGCACGAAGGTCACGCAGGTCAGAGAGGTGGTTTATTAAAACATCCTTTGAGCTCAAGGTGTGCCAGTGTGGCACTAACAAAGAGAGAGCCATGCTACTTGTGTTAACGTCAGAAACCAGGGTAACGGTCTCAGATCTGCCCGCGTCCTTCTGCCTGTCACCACTATGTGACATCTCCATAGTGGTGTCTGAAATTGGTTCTGTTTGGGAGGAATTCTTCCCTTGGCTCCAGCAAGGAGCTTGGTCCCTCTGTTCCTCTCAGGAAACTAGAATACGTTTTTACCGCCCCCAGACCGGTGCTTTTTGGGGACTGGCAGTGACTCAGTTGATGTCAAGAAACCACTCTTCCTGGAGGAGTCTGGGCAGAACAGGGCCAGTTCTCCAGCAACGGGAGGAAGAAAAGCTACGGCTGCATCGGCACTAACAGCACCATCTTGAAGAACCACCACAGCAGAAGGGTGAGCGGGGCACTAATGTATTTTGCATTGAGAGGATCTGAAAGGAGGATGGAGGAGATGAACTGGTACCAAAATCCCTTGCTCCAGCTCTTCTTGGGCTTTTCACAGCCTCGCAGAGAAGGAGCCCCGGTGCCACTGGGATGCAGGGGCTCAATCCAGCTGCAATTCCCTGGACATTCAGAGCACAAATCTGAGTACTCTTGAGCAAAGTCAAGCCTGCGCAGGGCTGTGTGCTGATATGGACCACCATCAATGAACACAGGAGATGGCAGCAGAAAGAGGAGTAATCCTTTACTTGTGTTTTAAGTGGGCGTTTCAAGTCAAATTATTTTTTTAATATAGATAAATAATGTTAATTTTTGGAACCAATTTTTTTATAGATAAATAATGTTAATTTT